TGATGATTTGGCAAAATACCTAGCAAACCAACATCAATGCCAATCATTTACCAACCATTCAAACACATTATATAATACTTGAACATTAAATCCCTTTTTTCTTGGATTTTTGACCTAATCATTTCCCCTTTGTTTCAATCAATCTCTTAGCTCATTCTTACATGATTTTTCATATAGAATCCAAATATCTAATTAAATTTTACAAAATCACATTCCTCCCCTTTCATTTGAGCTTGGCCGAATAGGGGTCCATATTTTGTGAAAATTTTATTTTTGATTCCAATGATTTCAAACACTTCCCTTTCGTATATTCCTACACAAAAACATCTTTTGAACTCATTGGAATCATTGAAACACATTGAAACAATTCCTAACCCTAAGAACAAGACTTGGCCGAATTGAGTATCATGAACTCTAGCTTGATTTTCTTCCATAAATCATTCCAAACAACATCCAAACATACCAATCCAAGCTCATAATCAAAGTTTTAATCCTTCCCTAACATTTCCTTATGTTGGCTGACATTTCAACATAGTTTCCCCTTAGGGTTAGACATGATGTTAACTTTCCAATTGCATAAAAATCAAGCTTGTACATACCTTGATTAATCCTTGGTGGAAACTTGATAGCTTGGCCTTTACTTGAAGTGGTTTGAAGGTGATTAGAGGTGGGTAAAAATGTTGGCAGCATTTCCCCAAGGTCTCCTTATTTTGGCCAAAATGTGAAGGAATGGAGGGGGTATTTATAGCCTTCATGAGCTGCCCAAACCTTGCCCTTGGTCAGCTATTTTCTGCCCAAAATGCCCTCCAATTTTCGTTCAAAAAGCAAGAAAAATATGGGCCACAAGATCATTACTTGCCCATCAAGTAACTTTAATCTAGTGGTAAAAAATGTGCCAACAAGTTGCATGTGATCTTTGGGCCTTGGGGAGCACGTCCCTCCTAACCAAAATGGGCTAACTAAATGTCCAAATCTGGTTGGGAAGTAATGGAGTTGGTTTGGTTCAATTTCAATTACAATCTTGCATCCAATATACCCCTTTTTAGCCCTATATTAGGAAAAATAGCTCAGCGCTCCTAAAAATTCATTTCTTTCTATGATAAATCCCCATTTAATCCAAAAGCATGATCTGAAAAGTTTGGGAATTTTTCACAACCTCTAACTATTTATTTCACATTTTTATCCGAAATTGGGCTCTTACCGATAGAATTTCGGAAGTAAATTCCTCATAAATTATTCCCTTTATTTCTAATTCTTGGAAATAATTTTATAAATTCACATATATTTCCAAGGAATTTATCCATATTTTTCCTTGAATTATTGAAGCTCTTACATAATTAAAATAATTATATTTTCTCAAATTTCACTATTTCCTCAAAAATAAATATTTTTGGGAAACTTCACCATATTTTATTTTGGGCCATTTTCACTCCCAAAACATCATAGGTTCCTCAAAAACATCTAATTTGGCCTTTTCACATTTTTGGGGAATTTTTGGGAATTTCTGCAAAATTTCTAATTTTACTCCTAGGAGTCTAGTATCACTAGTCCAACTTCCTTTAGGGTTCAAATTTTAGGATGTGACAAAATTTCACCTTCTGAAAAATAAGGATGAAGATTTTTATTAAAGCCACTGAATATTATGGGACGTGATAGAGCACAGGAACTATGTTCCAATGAAAATAGTAGACAGTCAACAAGTTCCTAAAAGCCCAAGAGAGTTTGACAAAGAAGATAAAAGGCTTGTGTTGCTGAATGACAAAGCAATCAATATGCTTACCTGTGCCTTAAGCCAGAAAGAGTACTTCAAGCTTGGAAACAGCAAAAGGAATGTGGGAAGCTTTGGAAATTGCTCAAGAGGGAACAACTGGAGTGAAACAGAGCAGAATCAACACTCTCACCACAGAGTTTGATCTATTCAGAGTAAAAGACAGAGAAAGTATTAGAGATATGGAAATGAGGTTCTCACACCTTATCAATCATCTGACTACCTTCAGGAAGAAATACAATCAGGAAGATCAAGTGAGAGAGATCTTAGGAGGACTTACTAAGGAATGGTAACTGAAAGTGATAGCCATTAAGGAAACAAAAGGAGAATCAATAGGTTCAATTGCTGTACTGTTCGAAAGCCTAGCAAAGTACGAGAGCAAGCAAAAGTATAAGAAGGAGACAAACAAGAAGAATCACAAAGGCATTGCTCTCAAGGCTCAAGAGAGTGAAGATAACAACGAAGAAGATCTGGAGGATGAAGAAATAGGCCTTATAATCAAGAGGTTCAAGAAATTTTACAAGAACAGAGCCAAAAGAAGGTTTCAATCAAAACGTAAAGCCTCCATATCTCAAATTGACACCAAATAGCCAATAATATGCTTTGAATGCAAGAAGCCAGGACGTATCAAAGCAGATTGTCCTTTACTGTCTAAGTTAAAGGACAAAGATAAAAAGAAAGAGAAATTCAGAAAGAAGAAGGCTTTGATCACTTCAATTTGGGGAGATAGCTCATCAGAAGAAGATGACAGTGACGATGAAGAGACAACCAACTTCTATCTCATGGCACAAGAAGTCGAAGATTTAGAGACTGACGAGGTAATCATTTCCGAACCTTCCTATGATGAATCACAATCTGAATACAATGTTTTACATTTTGAATTAGTTAGAATAGCTCAGAAGTTGGTAAGCTCCAAAAAGAAAATCAAGAGCCTGGAAGAACAAGTCAAACAGAAAGAAACTAGTCCACCAACCTACACCGAGTGTGAGCAGAACAAGAAGAAAACCGAGGAGCTCATGAGAACCCTGGAGAAGTTCACAAAGGGCAGTGAAATGCTTAAAGTGATATTAGGAGCTCAACGGTACACAATGGACAAATCTGGAATAGGATATGATCCTACTCAAATTTTGAAGATACATCGCGACTGGTATATCTGCCATGATTTATTGACATATTTTTAGCCAATTAAGAAAATATCCACATCTGCTTTTTGTTTAAAATTCATTGGATAAGCAACCGCTAACGAATAAATAGGGGAGTAATGCACAGAATTTCAGCTTTTAAAAAACTAAAAGATAAGACCCGTGGCAGTACAAAGCAGGAGTTGCTGGCAGCATGACATGTGGCATCACCTATGAGTAAATAAATGTTTTTTTTTAAAAAAAGGGGCCATAAATGTTGATAATAGATCTATATATTTTGCATGCCTTGAAAACTTATAGATACTTTACTTTTTATACATATTATGCTGAAATGATGATTTGAAGCAAAAATGTGATCTTCAACTAATTATTTTGTGATTATTCAACATCCACAAAGATATTATTATGTTCATAACAAATATACATTTTCAAATTTTGAAGGTACATCACGATTGGTATATCTGCCATGATTTATTGACATATTTTTAACCAACTAAGAAAATATCCACGTCTGCTTTTTGTTTAAAATTCGTTGGACAAGCAACCGCTAACGAATAAATAGGGGAGTAATGCATAGAATTTCAACTTTTAAAAAAACTAAAAGATAAGACCCGTGGCAGTACAAAGCAGGAGTTGCTAGCAGCATAACACGTGGTATCACCTAAAGTAAATAAATGTTTTTGTTTTTTTTAAAAAAAAAAGGGGCCACAAATGTTGATAATAGATCTATATATTTTGCATGCCTTGAAAACTTATAGATACTTTACTTTTTATACATATTAAGCTGAAATGGTGATTTGAAGCAAAAATGTGATCTTGAACTAATTATTTTTTGATTATTCAACATCCATAAAGATATTATTATGTTCATAACATATATACATTTTCAAATTTTGAAGATACATGGCGACTGGTATATCTGCCATGATTTATTGACATTTTTAACCAATTAAGAAAACATCCACGTCGGCTTTTTGTTTAAAATTCACTGGATAAGCAACCGCTATCGCATAAATAGAGGAGTAATGCACAGAATTTCAGCTTTTAAAAAAACTAAAAGATAAGACCCATTTTTTTCATCTTTAAGAAAATAAAGAAAAATAAGTTACAGCCCCACGTTCAGAATATGGTTTGAAAAATTGCTTTTAAAAAGCCAATACTTTCAGAATGGTTTAAAATAATGCTTTTAAAAAATTAATATAGCCCCCACGTTCATAATGGTCTGAAAAGGAAAATGGTTTTTAAAAATCAAGGTTTGAAAATGCCTTTAAAAAAATAAAAAATGACCTATTTATTTGCATTTGGTGAAGCTACTTGGCCGTGTCTAGTAAATCATGCTTTTTACCCTACTTTTATATATATATATATATATATATTTTGATTGAATAAGCCCAAACTTAGTGCACTACGTGCCTGCTTCTAAAGCAACCGACTCTAAAATGAAGCTAGGGGGGGAATCAAAAAACACAGCACCAGGAGCGATCTGCAAAGCTTCCTTCGCAAGTGTATCAGCGACGGTGTTCTTATCACGGCTACACCACTCAATCCTTGTCTCCCAATCTTAACTCATCCAAGACCGTATCTCAGAGAGTAACTCCCCTTCTGGATGTGCCTCGTTCCATCCTGCTCCAAGGAGTTCGGTGATATTTGATTCAGCAAGATGAAATTTAAATTAAAAAAAAAAAAAGAAAGAGGGATTTCGGGACAATCACCCCTCCAGTTTTTTGGATTTCAAAACGGAATTTGTTAACCAAACAAGAGCCAGCGAATTGTCAGGTCTAGGATCTGCAACGACAAATAAAATAATATATTTCCATAAAATAAAATTGGCTGCTATATACTATCATTCTTTTTTGTTTTCACTTTTAAAGTTCTAATGATTGTTTCTTCTTCCTTTTATGCCTGATCTAATGATTATTTCTTAATCAATATATTATTAGTGAATTATAAAACTAGCTTGTTTGATACGAACTTTTACATTTTGAAATAAAAAATCAGATAAAATAATAATTAGATTTAAATAATGAATTATATTTGAATGAAGGATATGCATCGTACACGTAATCTTTGCAGATGTGCAGCTTACTGAGGCTCTATTATTTACCTCAAGGCAATCCCCAAGTTCGCATTCCGTGAATTCCTGCAAAGTCATTCACGGTTTTCCTCTCCACCAAATCATTAGCTGGGAGGATTTCTGTGCTATTGAATTTCTGGGTATCTTCCAAGATTCATCGCTCATTCTGGGTGTGGCTGCGATTTCTTAATCTGGATCGTTATTGTTAGTGCGTGGAAGCCAAAATTCTGGGTTTTCTGCGTTAAATTTCGTAATTTATACGTTGATTTCCTATTTCATCTTCGACGATGACGATGACGATCCAGTCGACACCTGGAAGCTCAGGATATTTGGATTTGTATCCTGAAAGGAAAATGTCTTATTTTAAGAACCCTTATATTCTGGGCCTCACTGCCGTCGCTGGCATTGGTGGGCTGCTTTTCGGCTATGATACAGGTATAAACTTTTAATTACCTGTTTGATGAGTGACACCAGTAAATTTGGTTCGCTAAAACAATGCCACCCATTTCTTTTGTTATATTGTTCACGGATGAAATTGTCTGATGTTCCCTATAAAAGTTTGGATCAGCGAAATATAATCTGTGTTTTGCTTGACAGTCGTAACTATGTTCTTGTAATCTGTGGTTATAGATTTTTGCCGTCAAAAAAAAAAAAAAAACAACAAACACACATATTCATGAATAACTGACGCATGAAAACAATTATCAATATAATTGTTTCTTCGTTTTTTTAGGATAATCGTTTTGGTAAATCCCGAAGGCCCCATTCTCATTTGAACAATTTCATTTTGATGATCTTCTTAAATGCATATTTGCCATTGATCAATCCAGAAGATAGTTGAATAAGGTTCATAGATTGAGTTAAACTTCCAGAATCACTCAGGTTCAAATCTTAATCTTAATACATTACTGCCTCCTCTCCTTAATATAAGATTGAGGTAACTAATTTGAGAAAATTAAAAAAGTTACTAAGTTATTTTAAAGTATTTATATTTATCGTTTTTTTCCAAACTAATTTGCCTCACTTGTAAATTGACGTATGATCTAATGATATATAAGTATTTCAGAGAAATCATGTGACATATGATATAATTAAGTAATTTAGTAACTTCATTAATTTTCCCAAATTACTCAATTGGGTCCTATATTAAGAACGGGAGGTAGTATATTGCCAACTGCAGAGATTTTATTTTTCTATTTGTAGTAAAAATCATTTCTTCATGGACGAGAGTTACCATTTGTTTTTCTCTGTCCCCTACAAGGTAAAGATGAAGTAATTTTACAACACAGATCTTGAAAAAAAATAAAATAAAATAAAAAAATCACATTTTCTTGCCTAAAAGCACCATCTGTAATTTTATTTCATCCAATCTTTGCAATGCCCAGGGAGAAAATATTTTTCTTACACTGTAGTGATGCTCTCTTTTCCCATTGGTGAAAAATAGAGTATAACTCCAATCTTTTTTTGTTCAATTTTTTTGAAAGTTTTTTTTATTATATTATATTTTCTTGGAAATTAATCTGGACTGTCTGCATTGTTGCCAGCTGGCACATGCTATATGTGTGCTTGATTTTTTCTTTTCTTTCCTATAAAGCATCTAGAAGGAAGGCTTGGACATAGCAACGAAATTCTACAGAGAAAATTCTTTTTCAACTTGCTTTTAGATTAACTACTTTTAATAAAGGAACAATTAGCTGGGCAAAGAGTTCTGGTTGCAATTCTTTCATGGTTGAATGGTGGATTCTTAAGTTTGCTTTACAATATCTGATTCTGCCCCTTTTTAGATCAGAAAAAATATGATGTACTTATTTAGGTGCTGGTTGTTCTGAATATCTAAGTTGTTCTTTCTGCAGATTATGGGTGTTTCAGTTCTTTAATGAAAATATTAACATGTTATTTCTTTTACCACAGGTGTCATATCAGGAGCCCTTTTGTATATTAAAGATGATTTTGTGGAAGTTAGAAATAGTAGTTTCCTTCAGGTACATCCCTTTTTTGTTGTGTTCCTTTACTTGTCTTTCATGAATTTTAAAATTGCATTTCTTTGGGGTTTACAATAATCTAGATATTTAGCAAAAAGCTTCATATGTAGTTATTGGCTGTGAGTGCTTAGGGTTTTAACTGGAATGGGGGACTCAGAATCTTTTTGATCCGGTTTTCCACTGCATTGGAAGAATTATGGTTACAAATTCGATTGTGATGGGGAAAAGAAGAAAATAGAAACAGAAGGATAGAGATTGGCAGAATTCATCAACTGTCATAACAGTCTGATTCCTCCTCATACACGTTATTTAAGTTGTTAGCAAGCTAACTAACTATCTCTTTATAGTTAACTAAACAGCTGGTTACTTCTTTATCCCCCAATTATACGCCTCACAATTTCTCATCTCTAACATCTTTTGGGAATGGGAGTAGCAGGAAAATCTGCATTTGTTTGTATTTAAATGACCCCTTTTTTGCACATGTTTTTGTTACATAATGAAGCCATAAATACTACTTTCAACATGGAATACAGAAAACTGGTAGACTTAACTATGCTTGGATGATTCCAACCGAGAATATAAATAATTTTGTTATGTAGAAAATCCCTTAATTTACTCTAGGGATCATTTAGCATTTGTCTTTGTAAAAATTGTCAGACGTGTTGCTATTATCTGATTACTGCATAGCTGGTCAGATCTGTACTTCTGTATCTAATGCTTAATTATAGTCCAGCTAGTCTGATCCGTAGTTAACATGTAACTATTGTATAATTATGAGATCTGTAGTTATTGCAGGACTTCTACAGTTTATTAAATTCCCCAATTGTTATCCTTTCAATTGGCTGAACATCAGGAGCTGTCTTCTTCTGGCTCAGTCTCCTCTTGTTTAATCTGCAACATCCACTCTATTCATTTGGAATTTCGTAAATTACCAAACTTCAGTTTTTTCCATCCTTTTTTGACCTAGTATTGGAGCAAGCCTCTGGCCAAAACCCACTTCTTCTCTTTCTCAGCATCCCCATCTTCTCCCTTTATTCACTGGATCATATGGCATGCAGAAATAGCCAAATTTCTAGCCAACCATCTAGGTTAAAGCACCCACATTAGTTGCAACTGATGGATTTAGTAATGTCATTACTGGGCACTAGCTGAATGGTCCCAATTACTTGCAATGGGCCAAATTAGTGATGTTACAGGCTTCTTAGAGAACCTTGGAGATGCAAAGTACAGTGGAATTGTTGAGAAACAGAGGATTTTTATATTGTTGGTTGATCTGAATAAGTCCCTAGATGAAGTGAGAGGGAAAGTGCTTAGAGCAAAGCCCCTTACTTTCATTAAAGGAAGTCTTCTCAGGAGCATGTAGAGAAGAGAGTAGAGGGAAGCTCTTGCTAGATGCCTCTTCAACTGTTGCAATTATTGGAGGTTTTGTGATGGTTATCTAAATAGGGTGGGGAACTCTAGCTCAAGAGGTAGCCATTGAGGTGAGTGAACCAACTCACTTAAATACCTCATTGAGCATATCATTCTATTTAATGTGGGATTTGGTATCCCAAACTACCAAGTCTCCATCAATTGGCCTCATGGAAAGTTGTCATCGTAGTGGCTGCACTTAAGGCACTTCACTCGTCTTCTTGTTGGTTAAAATTGATGTGATTTGGATGCAAGAATATGAGTTTTATTTCTTTGTGAAAGTCGATACATATAGGAGTAGAGAAGGCAATAAAATCGCATATGATCTCACCTAAATAACTCATCAAATCTAATCAGAACAAATCTGGAAAAAATCTTATTTGAAATCCCTAAATAAATGACAGAAGATAATTCTAAATAAAAGAGTATAAGTAGTCATAGTGAATTAGGGTTATCTACGGATTAGGCCCAATGAGAATGAACCCACTTTCAACACTCCTCCTCAAGCTGGTGAATAGATGTTGATCATTCCGAGCTTGCTTGTGAGTTCTTCCAATTTGGTCTTGACCAAGGGTTTGGTCATCATGTCTACAACTTGTTTTCCTGTAGAGATGCAAGCCAGATCAACCACCTTAGCTTCTATTTTTTCTTTGATAAAGTGACGGTCAATTTCAACGTGCTTCATTCGATTGTGTTGAATAGGATTGTTGGCAATCTTGAGAGCCGCCATGTTGTCACACCTCATCTGGATTAGTGCAATTACCTCAATGCCTAGTTCTCGTAGTAGGCTAATAATCCATATTCCCTCACAAATTCCTAGAGCCAATGCTCTAAATTCTGATTCAGCTGAACTCCTTGATACGACTGGCTGTTTCTTGCTCCTCCAAGTAACAATGTTTCCCTAGATAAATGTGCAGTAACCGGGGGTGGAGTGTCTGTCATTGACTGCCCCTGCCGAATCTGCATCAGTGCATACTTCTATGTTCCTGCCATCTTCTATGTCCGGTGCCCTTTTATTTGCAGGTGCCCTTTTATTTGCAGCAGTATACATCTTCTATGTCCGGTGCCCTTGTTGGTGCTTCTGTCTAGATTATACTTTTTAGTAAATACCCACTTACTCCTTACAACAGATTTTCCTCGAGGTAGATCAACAACTTCCCAAGTTCCATTTTTGACTAGGGCCCTTAGTTCTTCCTCGATTGCCAATTTACTGCCTCATTGAATGTTCGTGGGATTTGTTCTTTGTCTATATTGACAACAAAGGTCTTAAATTGAGAGGTGAGCTTGTCATAAGAGATATACCTGCTTATTGGGTATCGTGTACAACTTCTTTTGCCCTTTTTGAGAGCTATGGGCCACTAGAGATCTTCAGGATTAATCTCAGGTGGGGATTCATGACTTGGCCTTGGAACATTAATGGGGTCTTCACTGGTGGCTATCTGTTCTATTTGATCTTCCTGTATTTCACTTGTTTTTGACTCAAAAGAAGGTTCGGTATGGGTGAGAAGAGGAGAAATAGGTTTGGTGGAGGTTTCGGGTTGGATTTCTGGTGTGTTGGAGGTGGTTTCTATGACCGAAAGAGGTGGTTCAGGTGCTGGTTTAATAACTTCAAGATCAACAAAGGTGACATCTAGGGATATTTAGGTGTCATTGGTAAGGTTGCTAGCTTGCTGTTCAGATCGTTGATTTGTCCAAATAGGCCATTCACTACCTCTTTCCCCCTGAATGGGTAATTTGGGATAGAAAGGTAGGTTTTCAAAAAATTTAACATTCATAGTGACATATACTCGCTTTGTGGCAGGAGAATAATACTTGTAACTTTTTTGGGTAGGAGAGTAGCCTAGGAATATACATTTAACGGATTTAGATTCAAGTTTCCCCTTGTCACCATCAAACACAAAAGCAATATACCCAAAAACATGTGTAGACAGAGAATGAATGAGATAAGATTGAGGATAGGTGATTGAGAATTTTTGAATTGGGGTCTGAAATTTTAAAATTTTTGATGGCATATACGATTGATCAAATATGCAGCAATAAGCACAACATCTCCCCAATAAAAATTTGGTACATTTTGCCCTAGTAAAAGAGATCTAGTTACTTCTAAAAGATGTCGGTTTTTGCCCTATTTTGTTGGGGTGTATTTGCATAGGATGTTTGATGGAGAATGCCTTTTTTTAGCAAAGAAGGTTGTAAATTGAGAATTAACAAATTCCTTTCCATTATCACTGCGAAAAACCTTTATTGAAGTTTGGAATTGATTTTGAACAAAAGTATAAAAATTTTTAAAGATGAAGAGCACCTCAGATTTTTCTTTCATAAAAAAAAGTCATGTTAAGTGAGTATGATCATCTATAAAGGTCGCAAACCATTTGGCCTTAGAGGTAGTAGCAACTCGAGAGGGACCCCAAACATCACTATGGGTGAGAGCAAAAGGTTGCGTAGGTGTGTAGACGTGAGATGGATAAGATGCTCGAGTTTGTTTGGCTAATTGACGAGTTTCGCAATAAAATTGAAAGTCCTTTTTATTCATAGAATTTGGTAACAAAAATTTCATGTAATCAAAGCTAGGATGACCTAGTCTAAAATGCCTAGCATAAAGTCTTCTTGAGACATAAAAGAAAAGCTAGAGGATTAAGAAATAGATGCAGCCATGTATCTCTTGGTTGGTGTGGTTCCTTCAAGGTAGTATAACCCATTATCTTCTTTAGCTTTGCCAATCACCTTCCCCAAGATTAGGTCCTGAAAATCACAGTGAAATTTATCAAAGATAATGAGGCGATTTAATTCATGGGCCGCACATTTAATAGATAGCAAGTTGAAAGGGATATCTGGAACATAAAGAACATTTTTCAGCACTATATTTTCAAAATAATAATAGTTCCTAATCCCATAACCTTAGCATGCGTATTATTTGCAACCTGAACCCGAGTTTGTTCAGAATGTGGCCTAAACTCAGAAAATAATTCCCGGAATCCAGTAATATGATCTGTAGCACCTGAATCAATAATCCACGTGTTTTTGGACCCAGTTATAATGCTTAGTGTAGCAAGTAGAATGGTACCTGAATGGGCTAAAGTCATAGATGGGGTAGATTTCTCACTGTTTTTCTCACCAAAGTACTTGTTCAAAATCTGTCTAAGCATCATGAGTTCATCAACACTTAGAGTCACATTACCATCTCCCTTGGTTCGTTGCTTTAGGTGTCCTGGCTTTCCCTGAATTTTCCAGCAAGTGTCTTGAGAAGCGTCGTTGTGTTGTCTTTGGCAGAGAAGGTGCATTTGGCTAATTCCCATCTTTCTCAGGCAAAATTAGTCGAAAGATAATTCTTGCTGATTTCGGTATTCATGGAATGAATCAACCATGTCATGACCATATTGTTTTCAGCACACCAAGTTGCATACTTTGAATCCTTTGGTTCTGGTAGTTTTGGATCCTATGTCAGGTAATGTTCCTTGCTACGTCCTCGTATGAACATTAGGACATTCCTGGACCATTGTAGATAATTTTTGCCATTTAAATGATGAGTAATCATCATTTGAGAGAAGAAGTCAAAGGCTGGAATTATTCCCATTGTGTTTGACGCTCCAGATTGGGAACTCCCTCTAGATTTGACCATCACGTCTGAGCCTCCTACACTTATCGACGGATTCTGGGTAGAATCGTTGCCAGCGGTGAAGGCTCGTGATGATCTGATCACTGTGTCTTTAAAGGATAGAGCCACAGCTCTGTTACCATGATGTTATTTGGACGCAAGAATGTATGAGTTTTATTTCTCTATGAAAGTCAATACATATAGGAGTAGAGAAGGCGATAAAATCGCATATGATCTCACCCAAATAACTCATCAAATGTAATCACAACAAATCTGGAAAAAAATCTTATTTCAAATCCCTAAATAAATGGCAAAAGATAATTCTAAATAAAAGAGTATAAGTAGTCATAATGAATTAGGGTCATCTACGGATTAGGCCCAATGAGAATGAGCCCACTTTCAACAAAAATCTTCCATGTGTAGCCCTCTTCAAAACTGTCATCAATTATTCTCTGATACTAATTGATAGATGCCTAAATGGGATGAGGAACTTTATCCCAAAAGCTTGCTGATGAAATGAGCTCTTAAATACCCTATTGAGCATTCTATTTTACTCAATGTGGGACTTGATATCACTTTCTACCCTTGTGATTAAAGGTCTAAACTAGAATAATGACAACAAACAAAATAATTAGAATAATGACAACAAACAAAATAATGGTAGACCTTGGTTCTACCTTTGCTTTTTCTGGGCACAAAGGAGAAATGTGGACGCTACATGTCAATTCTACTGATGGGAAGTCACCAACAGAGATGAATAGCAAAGGTTACATTGCTGTCCCTAAAGGAACTTCCAAGCCAGCTAGTAAACCAACAGTTTTTATTTAGAACAGGTTGATTTGCATCAAAATAATCAGTCAAGGTTCCTCTTCTAGTTCCAATGCTGTTGCTAGATGTATAGCACTAAAAGGCAGTTTTCCTAATTCTTGCGATACTAGTTCTAGTAGAATGATTGAGGTAACTTGGATAATTGATAGTGCTTCTGACCAAATGACTACTGATATGTTGTTATTCCACAATGCTGCCCTTGAAAAAATAAATATAATAAATGCTTAAGCTTTTAGGATGTATACCTGAAAGACAAAAGAGAAAGGAGATAAAAGAGGGAATTTCCAGTGCTAACGAGAATGGAGTGGTTAGGGAACAGTTGGCACAGGATTTGAAAGGCGGGAAAACTGACTCAAAAGGGAGAAGAGTCTGAATCTGGTTTTGGGTGGAGGCAGCCAACCTCTCAAAAGTTGGTGTGTTTTGGTCTGATGTGTTCTTATGTTGTGTCTTACCTAGCTTTTCCTTTTGTAAAGAGAGTATCCTTGTTTGTGTTAGACAGAGAGATTCTCTTAGAAAATTTAGTCGTTAGCTTTTATTCAAGAGCTATTTTATGTTATGATCATAGTACCTTTGTTTTCTTACCATGTTTCTTGTCTGCTTTGTGTTGATAGGAGAGTCCCATCATCTTTTATGTCCTTATAAATACTTAGATCTGTAGTTATTTTGTAATCTTTTTTGCATAACTGATCAGATGTGTTGTTAATTTGTAGCTTATCGGATCAGAAGTTAATGTAGTTATGGTAAAAGTGATCAGATCCATGGTAATTAGAGGACTATTACAATTTTTTAAACTCTAAACCTTTTTCCTTCTAATTGGCTGAACATCTCTGGAGCTGACTTTACCTTCTGTTACAGTCCTCTATTTAATAAGATGCTGTACTAACCTGTAAAATTTATGGAATGAAATGATCAAACTGCTGGTAGTAATTGTTTTCCAGCCACTTTCCACTTGTTCTCCAATCTTTCTGTTAGTATCCTTCTAAGTGTTTGAGTTGCCAGGAAACAATTGTTAGCATGGCATTGGTTGGTGCAATTCTCGGAGCTGCAGCTGGTGGTTGGGTTAATGATGCTTATGGACGAAAGAAGGCAACCCTTATTGCTGATGTTATCTTTGCTCTTGGATCATTTGTCATGGCTGCTTCACCAGGTCCTTATATTCTCATATTTGGACGTCTATTAGTTGGGATTGGTGTGGGTATAGCATCTGTCACCGCTCCTGTGTATATCGCTGAAGCTTCACCATCAGAAATAAGGGGAGCACTAGTAAGCACAAATGTGCTTATGATAACTGGTGGACAGTTTCTTTCCTACCTTATAAATCTTGCTTTTACTGAGGTTAGATTTTGGTGCTTTTAGAAGTACTTATATATAAATCATTGTCACTCATGCTGGAGGGTAGAGAACTCAAGATGAAAACAATTCAATGGTTTGTGTAGACTTTGAATTTCATTCTTGACTTGTTGTTTTCTTTCTTTTTCCAGTTGTCCCCCCCAATTTTGTTTAAATGTTTTTCATCTTATTCTCGTCTATTGATCTTTAGATGCAAAGATTCAATATTAATGTCAGGACCAAAATATATACCCTCCACTTGGAGTTGATGTCTCTATTTGGTAGAAACATTTTGGGAGAATAGATTTCTTAACCAAAGGCTGACTTAAGATTTTTCATTTTTCTGTTAAAAGTCAAGCCGCAATGACTGGAAAGTATACAATTGCAGAAAGTTAAGTTTTTTGGTTGCATACTCTGATAAAAGCTAGAAAAAATATCAAAATAACTTCCACGAACCGTGAGAAGTTTCACATTTTGGGAATTATCTGATTCATAAACATTCCTGTTTCAAACTTTTCTGGTATTTGTTGGCCGAACGCCTACCACATTCTTCATCAAGCAGGTCCCTGGAACTTGGCGATGGATGCTGGGAGTTGCAGGTGTGCCTGCGGTTGTGCAGTTCTTCCTCATGCTCTTCCTACCTGAATCCCCCAGATGGCTTTTTATCAAGGTGAAAAATTTTACATTTTTTAAAGAAAATTTATGTCAAAGACTCAAAGTTGTCTCCTTCAAATTATGCTGATTACTAAGCCATCCTATATCTTGTCTTTGACTGCAGAATAGGAACAATGAAGCCATTGTTGTGCTTACTAAGATATATGACTATGCTCGCTTAGAGGATGAAGTTGAGTTCCTAACAGCTCAATATGAGCAAGAAAGCCAAAAGAGGAATGATATCAAATACTGGGATGTGTTTAAGTCAAAAGAAATTAGGCTTGCTTTCCTTGTTGGAGCTGGATTGCAGGTACTTGACGAGGACATACAATTGTTACAAAACAGCCATATCAGAGTGAAAGTTGTGTTTAAAAGATTGAGGGGAATAATTATGCTAAACTGATCAAATTGTAGGTTGTTTTCTGAAATTAAGAGTACCACTGTCACTTTACAGTTTAAAGAACAAGACCAGGCACGAAATCGAAAGTCAGTTGGGTTGATTGAGCTAGTTAGATCGGCCATCAAACTGAATAATGTAAATCTAGTTTTTGGTCAGTGAAGGACGTATTAGTCAATACTTACATATCCACACCCCCCACCCCAAAAAAAAAACGGAAAAAAAAAATCTCTTTGCAGCTTGTGACAAAAATTATCCTGGCTACCCCTCTACCAGATTCGTTTACTGTTAATGCCTTATAGAACCTATTCAGCACTTATTGACTAATGAGGATCAGTAGTAAATCCAAGGTCTGGGAACTGCTGTTGGAATGCTTGGAGGATTTCCAAGAGGCCTGCTCTGGATTGTGTGCTGCCACTGCACCAAGACCTGAGTAAGATGCATATTATGCATTTCAACAACCTCCCTAGAGAGAATCTTGCAGGAAAAAAGTGCTTTTTTAACCTCCGTATAAGGAGAAGCCCTCCCACATTTTTGTAATAAAGGGAGGACGCTATTATTAAGTCTCCTCTTTGTGGGGGAAATAATATATTACCCCAATAATAAACAGACAAATATTTTCATGGTTAAATGATAATTATGTTAACTGGATTTGGATCAGTTGATTAACTGAAACCTAACCTTTTTTGAGTTTGATTTGGCTTGATTTTTGACAACTTTCAGATATTAGAGCATGAGTTGACCTTTTGTTTCCTAGAGTAATGATTCCGGTCATAAAGAATTAAAAGCTGCTTTTAGAGATCATGGAAGTACTCATGAGAGCACTGAACTTCATGAACCTGGTTTTAATGCATACATATAATTGAAGAGATCTTAGCATATTCAATAAAACTTCAGTGATTTCATCTGTAGCCTTGGTCGGTCGTTTAACTATCCTATGCACATAGTTGTTAAATGCATGTATTTGTAATCAAGCAGTTTGAGATTAAGGTACTTCAGTTCTGGATGCATGCTGCAATAAGCTTCTGTCCTTTTCAAATGACAGTGTTTTCATGCAAGTGAATTCTCATAACGTCCCATGGTTCTGCAGGCTTTTCAGCAATTTACAGGTATAAACACAGTCATGTACTACAGCCCAACAATTGTCCAAATGGCTGGCTTCCATTCCAATCAGTTGGCTCTTCTTCTATCCCTCATTGTTGCTGGTATGAATGCTGCTGGTACAATTCTCGGCATCTACCTTATTGATCATGCAGGGCGGAAAAAATTGGCCCTTTCTAGCTTAGCTGGAGTAATCGCCTCTTTGATCATACTTGCTGTGTCATTTATCAACCAATCTTCTGGCTCCACAAATGACTTGTATGGATGGCTTGCAATTGTGGGTTTAGCCCTGTATATTGCTTTCTTCTCACCTGGAATGGGACCTGTGCCATGGACTATGAACTCAGAAATATATCCTGAAGAATATCGAGGAATATGCGGGGGCATGTCAGCTACTGTGTGCTGGGTTTCAAATTTGATTGTGTCCCAGACCTTTCTATCAATTGCTGATGCTGTAGGGACCGGTCAAACTTTCTTGATTCTTGCCAGTATAGCTGTGCTGGCTTTTCTCTTTGTGGCTGTGTACGTTCCAGAGACCAAAGGATTAACATTCGATGAAGTGGAGCTGATATGGAAGGAGAGAGCTTGGGGCAAGAATCCAGATACACAAGCCCTTGTTGGGCATGGCAATGACTCCTAGAAGAGCATCCATATAAGATTCAAGAGTGTGATAATGAATCCTAGGTGTGCCCGATCTTTCTTTCATTCCCCCACTTATCTTTCCCAATGTCAGTTTACAAGAGTGCAGTCGTGAATTATCGTGGATGAATATTTGGAACAGTCTCAGTTAATTTATCATTTGTATAGGCAGCTTAGTGGTGAGATTATATTGTTTAACTTTGGAATCATTCCGAAATTTTAAGTGACATTGTATCTCCTGAATTTTTAGTGTGACATTGTATCTTCTGTATTGAGTGACGTAAAATAATGGCCTACGTTGTCACTTTACCATCTCGTGTTTTAGTGATATCTCATGTATTAGTGTTTTACAGCTATGGAATGGAGCATCTCAAATTAGTTTGCTTGGTCAAAATTTTGCAGTGTTCGTTTATTAGGAAGTGGATCAACTTTTAGCAACTAAAAGTAGCAGGCATATTCTCAAGCTATGTTGAATTCAAAGCCATTGATGTCATTGTTTCTTATTACATTTCAATGTAATTTTTAGTCCCAGTAGTTTCAAATAGTGGGTTTTGGACCTTACATAAAGCCTTGGTTTAAATTTAACTATACAAACCAAGGTCAAAACTTATTTGGAAAATTTCAGATAAAAAACTTATAATTACAATAGTTCAATCCAGGCACCTAATGTAACATCTTTAATACATTGATTGGGTTGCTTGTCTGCCATCGTTGCAGGACGGGAATCCTACGTATGAGGGGCAATGAATGGGATTTCAAATGGGGGGATGGGGGAACGTACCATCCGAAGGCTACCAAAAGAGGTTTCGAGTGCCTCAAACACGATAGTCTAACCTAGTCCTTGCTTACTGAGCAACCGCGAGAAAAACGCCCCAACGGATGCCTTTCCGCTCGAGTTTCGACAGGAATAGCGTGCAAGGAAGGTCCAAGAACCCCTAGATACGCTAATCCATCTATCCCATTTGAAATTCTACACAAGTTAAGGGTCGCCGAAAAAGTCGCCGGAAAATCTCGCCGGCAGCCGCCGTCGCCACTGTGGGGGTGGTCGACGTTATAAGGAGGGACACCCCATGGACTTGCTCACACCTTGATCTTGTCTATTGGGAGGGGCATACATGTGGTAGTGTGAGCAAGGCCATGGGGAGGAGAGTTGGGGGTGCCTCCCTATGTTAGATATGATTAGTTTTGATGATGTCAAATAATAGAGCAAAAAGTTTACATAAATTATTTATCTCATATTTTGACTACCTATCATACTTAATATCCTATGTAGTTTCCTCAAGAAAAGAAAGGAGTTATTATGTTGCACTTTGAGTTATGGAGAATGATCAAGAGGAAGAAGAAGAAGAGAGATTGAGAAAAGAAGAACTTGCAAGATCAAATGAAAATATCAAGATTCAAGTTCATAGATTTGATGTTAAATGTTGCTATACTCAATCAGAAGTTTGAATGGCTCAGTCGGAAGCGAAAATATACAATCGGGAAGTTATACCATCATATATTGAGTCACCCTTCATATAAACATGGAAAATAAGCTTCAGAGGTGATTTTCATGGGCAATTATCGATCACTTGATCGATCATCCATTTATCGATCAAGTTATCGATAAAATGCATCCTCTGTTATGCTCTGTTCTTCGTTCAGCTCTGACATAGGTCGGTATTTCTTCAATATCTCTAAACCACAAATCCGTTTGAGACGAAACTTGATTCATATGAAACTAGACTCAGAACACGGTTCATGGACACCAAAATCAACTTCAAAGAGTTTCATATGAGGGAGATATGCGGTTCGAAACATTGCAGTAAGGATTAACGCCTTGATTCCGACCTTCAGTCACTGTGATGAATATAACTTTGCAAACACAACGAATTTTGGGGTGATTCTTGTTGAATTAGAAAGTAGACTCAAAGAGCTTTCTGGGGATAGGTCATTTGCAAAATTTGGAGCTGAATTGGAAGAGTTATGATCACTCAAAGTTGACCTTCGTTTTGCTGGAATCAGACTTCGAATTTATTGAGGCAAATACCAGAAGTTCTACACTGAATGATTAAGTTCTCAAGCAACATGCTACTCAAACATGTTATTGAGTAAAAGCTCTAGAAGAGATGAAGAAATGAAAAGCCATTATCATATATTACTCGAGCCTGATCAAGCGACTACATACTCATCGAGTTACTGGTACTATCTCCTCAATTCCTCTCTTTTATCTTCATACATATTATTAAGGTTTTATCAGTAACATGTTGGATAAATGATTTTTGGATAACGTTATTGATGAATATGTTTATCGATCACCTAATCGATAACTGTCAAGGTTTTATCGATCACGTGATAGATAATTTAGTCTGCTCAATAACTTGCTAGATTGATCGATCAACTATTCGATCATTGGTATAGCTGCTTAATATAAGATGTTGCGGGAATAATCGATCACTTAATCGATCAGACCTTTATCGATAACTTGTTCGAATATTACATGTCTTCTTACTCGATATAGTGCTCTGTCAAAACCATTCGTTCAAAATCTTTTATCGATCAATTGATCGATCAAACATTTATCAATCAAATGATCGATTATTATCTTCACTGCATTAACTCATGTTGAATCATTTTTTCGATCACCTAATCGATCATCTTGAAACTCCTGTTTTCACATAACGTGATCGATAATCAGTTTCTTTACCTTACAGGATTAAATCTCTATTTTTCATTTTATCGATCACTTGATCGAATATTCATTGATCGATCACCTGTTCGATTAATCCATATAGTCTGTATTTTTCGCTGAATATATTCTTACTCATTGTTTATCGATAACCTTATCCATCATCCAATTATCGATAATTTGTTCGATCATCAATGACTGAAGTTTCATTTCTGTAACACTTGGATTATCGATAATCTGTTCGATCAACAAGTGTTCGATCACTTGTTCGATCATGGAACGTTTTCCGTTTAAACATCAGTCGACTATGATGATTCTTAAAATCAATGATCTATTTTCTTTCAAGTTTTTCTCAGCCTTCTTTTAACATATAACTCTTTATCGAAAAGACACGAAGGCAAACGTAACTTGAAAAGGTTTATTCTTGCATAAATCATTTTTGGGTCACTGTATTCATGCTTCATCATTTATCGATCATTTATTCGATCATCATATGATCCATAATCTATTCGATAATTGCATCTATCTGCTATATCTTTTCTTCATGTAATTAATCGATAATATAATCGATCAAAGCTTTATCGATCAAGACATCGATCAAGTAAGTTCATCTTACTTTCTGAATATCTGATGATTGATTCCATGTTTTCCAACTTATTGTTTCTATGATTATCATATACTTATCACTTGATCTGAGGAAGATTATTTCAGATAAAGAGCCACAACGAATTTATGATGTGAAGAATCGACGTTCGTCAGAAGCTTCCAACGGCTAGTTTCAACGGTCATATTCTTCAAGCCAAACGGGAAGAAAAAGCTCAACGGTCAACTACCCAACATCATCTATAAATAGAAGAGCATTCAAAACAAAAAAAGAAGAGTCTGAGCTTACAACATCAAGTGCTAAAATGCCGAAGCAACGTATTCTCATTTAGAGCTCCGAAAGAAAACTCCCTGTCTCTGTACTTCATAGATTAAAACTTATGTATTCGTAAGATAGAGAGGAGAGTTTCCCAAACGTGCTTAAGAGTCATCTATCACTTCTTTGAGAGAAGAAATATTCAATCTTCATTATCATTATTAGATTGTATCCTTACGGTGAGTAAGGGGGAGTATTTACCTCGGTGTGAGGTTGCTGCTGAATAGACTGATTAGTCTAAGAATTGTAAGTGGCGTCACAAGTGCCCGGATCAAACTTGTGATTGTAGTGGTTCTCAAGTACTCGTGTTAAACTTGAGGGAGATAGTCGATTGAAAATCTCAGGGGGAGCCTGGGGACTGGACGTAGGTCAGTGAGGACCGAACCAGGATAAATCACTGTTTGCATCTTCTCTTCCCTTACCTCTTTATATTTCCAGCTAAACCATTTTACTACTGTGATTATGCTTATCTCGATTCTTTGTTTTTTATACTCAGAATTTCTTATGAATTTCATTACATTGCGAAAAGATTTTTAATTTTAATCAACACCCAATTCACCCCCCCTCTTGGGTGTTCAGCCATTCCAACATTTGGTATCAGAGCAGGTCACTTGTTTAAAGGATCTAACGATCTCAAGTGCAAAGATCATGGCTGACTTTGAAGGTTTTGATTATACAATTCCACCATTTCTCAAAGATATTGATTTTTGGTATTGGAAAGCTCGTATGATACGATTTTTGAAAACTATTGATTTTGATATGAGATATGTTTTTACAAATGATTTTGTTTTTAAACGAAGAAAGGATTGGACCGAAAAAGAAAAGAAAATGTTTTCTTTGAACATTCAAGCAATGAAAATTCTGTATAGTGCTTTAACTGAAACTGATTATGAGAAAATCAGATCTTGCTCTACTGCCAAGAATATTTTAGATACTCTTGACTCTTGTTATACTTCTAACACTTGTGTTGAAGCTAAATGTGAAGACAGTTCACTTGAGACCGATCAAAAAAGGGATACACAATCATCCACTCTCAGTGAACAAATGGAAGTCGAGATCGAAGAAGGTGAAATCACACAATACTTCCATAAGTCTGTCAACACAGAAGAACAAGAGGAAGATGAGCATCAAGAAGAGCTCAGTATGGACGAATATGATGAATCATTATTTGGAGCTCAAGATGCACTTAAGGTAAACGGTCCCAATTCTTCTCGTACATTACTTATGAAAAATGATTTTGAAAGTTTGCATAAAACTGTTGTTCAACCAGTCATTGATTCTGTTTTCAAAAGTAAAAATGTTTTTAATCATGCTGGAAAATTTACTAGGAAGAAAGAACTTACAAAGAGAAATCATTTAAGATTGCATTCTTTTGACCAACGCAATATTTGCATAAAATCTCATAATGGATATCATTCTGTTATTTGCAATTATTGTGGTAAATCAGGTCACATTTCTCACGCATGCTATTTTAGAAGAAATCCTAATGTGAGAAATAAATTTGTTTGGGTTCCCAAAGGACAAGTAAAGTCCAATGCTAACACTCAAGGACCCAAAGCAAAATGGGTACCAAAATGTCCTTCTAGTATTTTAATTTTGCAGGATATTTCTAAGAACGGACATATTGGCCTAAAGAAGAAGAAAGTGCCTAAGAGAGCTACTTACATGATCAACATGAGAACTCTTAGAGCACCCATTGCTGGAACTACAAAGTCCAATCATAGGAAGCAATGGATA